TAATCGTAATATAATTAGATTACATTTAGTCATGCATATGCAGTAATAGTAATAGTAATAATGAAATTAGTGAAGTAATAGTAATAGTAATATATTACATTTACATCTACTAAACATGTAATTGTAATAGTAATAGAATTTTTTTCTAGTTAATAGTAATAGTAATATATTACTTTCTAATGTAATTGACCCCATGTCTGGTCCACACAAGTTGCCATGGGCATAGATAATAGAGTAAATCTATGACATGAAGAGGGCGTTTAAGCCCCACCCTTTAACATATAGAATGCTTTACTCAGCATAAAACCAACAATTTACTCTATATACTTACCTTTACTAGAAGAGATTAAGTAAAACGAGGTACATAAATCATAAACACAGAAGTCAGTGTAGTCATAGTAACTAAAGAATAAAATTATTGATGTTTATTTAGAATAATTTCTCTCACTTGAAGCGAGTGGTGTCAGTAGATAGTCGTGTCTTTAGGCACGCACATCATCTTAATCTCATCACAAATCAGTCAGTAAGTACCGTCAGTAATTGTAAAAGGCTCTTCCAGTTCCAGCCATTATAATAATTATTACTGAGCATGCGCAGTTGGCTGCATCAAAATGGCGTCCAACCACTTGGTGAATCAACTGTGTACTTGAAAATAACGACAAGAAATCATTTTGTAGAATCAAAATGCCAAACCACACTGCACTAGCGTCCCTTAAGCGCAACAGAATCGTGCAAAAATTATCTTTCTAGGATAAAAACTGTAGGACTAGTTCAGTAGTTCTTCCTTAACTGTGGAAGAAGAAGAAGAAGAAGGAGAAACCTGAACATTTGGTGCATGCAGGCATGCATGCATTCATTGCCGTAAAACTATCTTGTGGAAGTTTTTAGCTACTTTTTATAACACTAACCTGTTTCAATAAAATTATAAAGGAAATCTTGACTGTCAGATAAGCTATAAAGAATTCCTGAAGACTGATTTACACAGGCTCAATGCTTCTGGGATGGCAGCCATTATGGGGGCGCGCTCGTCCAACTCAACCCTACATACCAAGCGCTAGCGCTTGGTAATATGTACTGTCTTACTTGTGGATGATCCTGTAACAGTAATGACTGATGAAGTGCTCGCGTAGGCGAGGCCAATAAATGAAGCTACAAGCCACTACTAACTTTAAGTTAAGCCATATAAATGTAGTTCTTATTGATCATCCACAAAACCCTCTTGGCTGCTAAAAAGTTGGGAGGATTTAACCTCTGTAGCCCTGGCATTTGCTATTTTTACCTGCTCCCTCATTAAATGGTCAAGCTTAGAGATTAGCTACTTCACTGAATTTTTCTGAGAAAGTATATAACTGGACACATTACCATTACTACTATTATTACCTATGTACCTGTATTACCATCTTACCATGGCAATATACCTATACATTACCAGTATTACCTGCATTACCAGTATTACTTATATTACCTACGTTACCTTCATTACCTACATTACTTACATTACTTACATTACCTGCATTACCAGTATTACTTGCATTACCAGTATTACCTGCATTACCAGTATTACTTACATTACCTACGTTACCTTCATTACCTACATTACTTACATTACCTACATTACCTGCATTACCAGTATTACTTGCATTACCAGTATTACTTACATTACCTACATTACTTACATTACCAGTATTACCTGCATTACCAGTATTACTTGCATTACCAGTATGACCTGCATTATCAGTATCACCTGTACTACAATAAAGTTCAGGCATAAAAACGGAGTTTTACTGGAGTATACGGCATGGTAACAATCTCTCCCTAATGGCTTTTAACAAACAATCAAGAAGCTCATTTAGGTAAGCGACTCATCCCTTAAGGCAGCCACCATCATTATCCTGACATTTAAGGGAGTACTACCATTAAACTGGGAGAGAGCTGAAATGATGATTGGCAATTCATGATAATTATTGATCTGCCCTCAATATATTTGAGGGCAGATCAATAAAATCATTAAATCATTTAAATTATTAAAATCATTAAATTACAATATCCATGTACATGCATTTGAATTCACTATAGCACATGTACATTTGCTAATAATTATTTTCCAAGTATATTTATTATATATTTTCTTTTATTTCTCTCTCCAGATCCAGTCTCCATTTGTTGAGGATTTTTTAAAGTACACTGCCACCCTCCAGCAGGACAATACTCCTCTACTGGACATTCTCTGGCGCTATTATGAACGGAATAAGAACTATATTGCAGCTGCTAGGATACTGGACCAGCTTGCCAGAAAAGAAAGGTAAAGTACATTATGTACATGTACATATATATAAGTCACCTACTACAGTTACATGTACAATGTATATTTAATTTGAATTAGTTTATATGTACATGTACATTAATCTTTGTGTTTGTGACCTCTTCTATATCTTGTTCTCTCTCTCTCCCCCTCTCTCCCTCAGTGTTGAGTTAACCCTCTCCAGGAGGCTGGAGTACATATCAAGGGCGGTGATGTATGCTAAGAGCTGTGGGTCTGTATCCAGCGTCAGTGGTGAGGGAGAGTTCCTTCATGAACTGGAAGAGAAGATAGAGGTAAGAAAGAAATAAAGAAAGATTACATGTACATATACTTTAGGGTTGGTATTATTAATTGTGTTCGTTTTTTAAAGGGGCTTAGATGTGTCATGTTAGTGAAAATATGTACATGTAGGAACTACGTCATACTGAAATTTGCATTTAATACTTTTGAGTGGAATTTTGTGTACATGCAAGTGTAAATGTACACATAGATGGAATGGATGTTTCCTAATTCTTGTATTACATGTACATTTACATTTACAGTGACTATTTATCATTTTTTATCTTTTTTACTGCTCCTCAGGTTGCTAGAATACAGTTGTCCATATTGCAAGGTATCCAGTCCCTCCATCACTCACAGCATACTCAACAAGCTATCACTGAACTCAACTCAAAACTGATGGATGTCAGTCAGGTTAGTACATGGCTACATGTACATGTATGTACACGTGTACGTACATGTAGATTGAAGTTCAGAATTTTGATTATAATGTGCTCAAACTTTCTACATAGCATAAGTACATTAATATGTATAAGAAAATGTAATAAAAATTGAGGGTGATTTTTTAGCCATTTTTCAAAAAAAACATGGGCTATAGTACAAATCAGCCGATTATAAAAAATGGCCATAACTTGAAAATTTCTAGTCGGAATCAGCTCAAACTTTCCACAGAGCATAAGGACATCAATATGTATCAGAAAATGTAATAAAAATGGGGGGTGATTTTTTAGCCATTTTTTGGAAAAAACCATGGGCTATAGTACAGGGATTTTTTTCAGAAATTGGCCGATTTTTAAAATTGGCCATAACTCGAAAAATTTTAGTCAAAATCAGCTGAAACTTTCTACAGAGCATAAGGATATCAATATATATCAGAAAATATAATAAAAATTGGGGATGATTTTTTGGTCATTTTTCAGAAATAACCATGGGCTATAGTACAGGGGATTTATTCAGAAATCGGCCAATTTTTAAAAGTGGCCGTAACTTGAAAAATTGAAGTCGGAATCAGCTCAAACTTTCTACAGAGCATAAAGACATCAATATGTATCAGAAAACGTAATAAAATTGCTTGATTTATGATATTGTTCTATTTTTAGTTGTATGGTGATTTTGCTGATCCGTTCAATCTCTCAGAGTGTAAGTTGTCCATTGTTCATTGTGCCGGCCATTTTGATGTCACACTGATTGAATCACTGTGGAGTGAAATTATAGAACAAGGTAACAATAATATACTTTATGCATCATTACTGTTACTGTAGTGTATTGTATGTGTTATTTAATTGTAACTATTCCTACACAAAGCCAGTCTTTAAAGTTTTCTGATCCCCATAACTTATTGGAATCAACTGAAACTGTATCATATAAGGGCATCAATTTATATCTTTAAAATTAGGACCAAAATTTAGCAATTCGCCAAATTCAATTCCCTCCAAATTTCCCGCTATAAGGTATAAAATACTTCACTTCTCATGCAGAGCTCCAGTCTACACTGGGCAATGATAGGAACACTAGAATGCAGAGCATGAGGGACAGACTACTGAGACTTGGTAAACTGTATTCAAGAAATGACAGCTACTTTCCAACTGGTAAAGAAACTAAAAAAAAACTTTGATAAATTATGCATCTCATTCTCTCTCTCTCTCTCTCTCTCTCTCTCTCTCTCTCTCTCTCTCTCTCTCTCTCTCCCTCTCTCTCTGTTAGCCTATCTCATTAAGCTGTTAGAGCAGCACTCTTGTCAGCTGGGTGGGATCCTGTCTTCATTCCGGACATATTTCATCAAGTGGGTGTGTCTTACTCCACCCTATTCACACTCTACAACAACCTCTTTGAAGAAAAGGTATAGATCTATGTCCTTATTTGGTCATTTCCTTATTTGAATGCATACTTAATTTTATTATTTTTTATTTTTAGGATACATTTTGGGGTTCAGTAGGACGACCGTTACATGTTCTGTCAGTTTTATTGGCTTTACTATCAGCTTATACTGCTAACAGTTCACTAGTAGCTACCAAGTAGGCCATTTTAGATGCATTGTACTGAATATGTACACATAAATGTAGTAGATGTGTATTTGCAACTTATGAAATACACATGTACATTGTGTATAGCAAAATAATGTATTTTTATTTCTTTCCATCCATTCTCTCCATTCTTTTTTAAATTTCTAATTATATAAATGCTAAGTAAAAAAGTACTAAATTGCTTGGTATTTTGGTATGGTGCTTGGGTTTTTTTTCCTCCTCCTCCTCTCTCTCTCTCTCTCTCTCTCTCCCTCTAGACATTTCTCAGTTGCTATTGATAAGTATTTGGTTGAGCTACAGACACTGGATCCCTCCACTCCTGATATCAATACACTCACTGCTGGACTGGCTCAAGAGAGAACTCTAGAGGAACCTTGACACCATCAAATGAACACACTCCACCACACACTATCCATACACTTGTGTATACATTCATTTTGAAATGATAATTTTTCAATCTTATTATAGTCAAAAATTAGCTGCATATTTTTATTTGTCATTTATGACATTCATAACTCAGTGCACTCTAAGTTTGGATGTCTTTGTTAGTACAAGATATAGAATAAGCTATGCAACCATCTGTTGCATATTGCTAACGTAAGTTTTGAGTGTTATTTTAACTAACAGTAGAAAAATTTACAATAGCTATAACACAAACACATTGTACATTAGTTAACTACTACTCACTCAGTCACTACATGGTAGTGGACACTGTTTATTTATATAACTAAATAGTGCACAAAAAGACCAATATATGCATTATGAAATGGTTGGTATTTCATATTCAGTAGTAGCAGATGGTGGAAGAGTTGTCTCAGGGCTAGTTGTATCATACACTGGCTCAGTAGTTGATCTAATGGTAATAGATATATGCATATGATATGTTCAATATATACACTAACTAACTTTGTTTTCAATTCAGTTGTAGCATAAGCTGGACTGCATTCCATTACAATGTCATTATCCTGTTTTCTATCCCACATACAAATTTGAAATTTTATTGCAATGAATATGTACCAGTATATTTACCTCTTTTGATTATTATTAGCTCTTTTCATTTGTAAAACAATTACTAGTATAACAATCACAACCAGTATTAGTGCTATCATGGGTATATATACTACAGTTACACCAACTATCAATCCATTATTTTCCTCATTATCATTGACTAATACAGTAGTTGTTGCAGTAGTAACACTAACTGTACTTATTGCAGTAGGATAAGAAACTATAAAAATGGTTTACACATAATTATTATAATCATTAGTGTGTGTTACTAATTTAATGTATTGTATAACAATGCTGATGCTAAACAGCATGCTTAAACCTGCATGATAGACAAGCAGATATTGTGCAGCTTGAGCACAATGGAGCACATTTCTGCTTGTCTATCATGCAAACTTAAGAAAAATAGTACAAACCTGATGGTAAATGTACAGGCTGAGTCCTCTGTCCTTCATAATTGATTTGATTAAAATTAAATGATGTAGATATAAAGAACAAGTAGTTCAGATTAGGATCTAATCCTCCTATTAGACCTTCAGTAGTATCACCTGGGAATACTCTCATTCCTGTCTCTACTTGTCTCTTCTTTCTTGAGGAGCTACTGGTTGACTCATAATAGACAGTATAATGACTAGCTCCAGGAACTGAACCCCACACAGCTATCACTGCTGTAGAAAGGAACTTTTTTACTGAGAAGTTTTGAATGACAGCTGAAATTAAATAAATGAAAATCAATTAGAGTAATTTCTTACGTATTTCAATAGTAGTATATTCTCTATCAGTCCATTCTCCTGGTCCAATACTAGTATATGCTCTCACTCCAATAGTATAACTAGTATTAGGTATCAATCCTACTATACTGTAATAAGTGTTAGTAGTGTTAGTTATATTGTATGGACCAGTAGACTCTCTATATCTTATCTCATATACTGTAATGATACCATTAGGTATTGTAGGAGGATTCCATGAGATATTAATTTTAGCTAGTGTGATACTTGCATGCTTTAGATCAGTTATTACACCAGAAACTGTGTTAAAATCATGTTAAACTGATCATTATCTCATTGACTTACTTGATTCAGCAGTTAATTGTATTTCTTGTCTAGCTGGTCCATTTATATTATAATTATAAGGTATTATACTCACAGTATAGTTAGTATATGGTATTAATCCTGTGAGATTATACATTCTGTTGTCTCCTCCAGTGATATTAACAGTATAACTAGTGTTTGAAGTGATGTTAGTGTATGTGAGGTAGTATCCAGTGATTGGTCCATTCCTTCCATTGCAAGGTACTTCATCCCATGAGACAGTCATTGAGACTGACTCTACTGATGAGATTATAATATCACCCACTGGTGCAGTAGGAGCTATAGGCAAAAATGATAATAATTTTATAGAAGTTGTTTTACCAGTTGAAAGTGTAGTAGCTAAATAATTGGTTCTTAAAAAAGCTATCTCAGCTCCATATACTCCAATAAGATCAAAGGCACATTGACTGTAAGGAGGTATACCAGTTGAAGTATGTGGTGATGAAACTGCTATTTCACTATTACTATTATTTAATGATTCACATACTCTTCTACAACTACTAATAATATTATAACTAATTGGGACTACAGCAGTTGGTGGACTCCATGATAATGTAATGATAGTACTTGAAATTAATGTAGCCATGAAATTATTAACTACTGGATTACCTAAAATACATTATAAAATCTCTAAACTACTGCTGCTATATAGCTCACTAATTGTTAACATAACTGAAGCATTACCACTAGGTAGAGAAGCTGATCCATAAGATACAACATAGAAAGTGTATGTAGTCCCTTGAAACAATCCTACTATATTGATTGTTGTATAACTAGTGTTAGATACACTAACAGGAGTATTACTAGACAGTTGATAGTAGACCTCATAACCAGTAGCTCCTGATACAGTAGACCAGGAGAGTCTTACATGAGTTAAACCAGTACTTAATCTTGTAGCAGTTAAACCAGTT